GTACAAGAATTTAGCAAGGCAATCCTTTAACTAGAAAGTCCCTGAAGTGCGCTATGTTTGTGAATGGTGGTGTTGTCATCAAACAGTATCCGAGAATCTAAGACTGAGAACCAATGCTAAATTTTCAGAAAGAGATCACATGATTTTTTTTCAGATTGTTGCAAGATGATGTATAAACGATATCACTTGTCTACAGGCTATCAGAAAAACCATATTCATATACATGCCAACTTTGACCCCAGCCAATCTTCAAGCCTTCAGATTACAAGAGAGGGCCTTGTTGGTGGCTTCTTCAGGCAGTTGAATTTCCTTCCAAGGGAAGCTAGACTGGTCACTTCCTTTTCCTTCAATTGGTGCAACAAGTTCATTTTGTTATTTCAAGCCTTTGATAATTTTCTAATGGAAACAGGCAGAAGTTTTAAATGGATGGGCTGGATTCTAATTTTATTTATTCTCTGTGAGGAGTTTGAAACCATTTCAATATTGTGCTTTGATATTGCACCACATATGTATAACATAGCCCAACACAAAATGTACATAGCCCAACACAAAATGTACATAGCCCAACACAAAATGTACTTGTGTCTTGATTTTTCGGCCTTTTCTGCTTCAAAAAATTACACTGGATAGACTGCATCATCTATAGTTTCTTAGATATGTTTATCATGATTTTCTATGGGCAAGCGGATGAAAACTGCGCTATGGCATATGTTCTGTATCTCAAACACTAGAGTCGATAGGAGAAAACTGGTTCCATTTTTAAAATCAGCAGGCCAAATATACTCAGAAACAGGTCTTTAATCTGAGGCACTCAAATGAGTGTCGGTTAGTGTAATTAATTGGTTTTTTTTAGTAGGTGTTGGTTTTAAATATATATTGGAAGCTGCTTTTCAGCCTAGCCATGAAAGAAAAGAAAGAGATAAATCCAATAAACAAATAAATAATACATATAAGGATGCAATCTATTAGGCGGCACATCTGGTGGACATCTGTTGTTCCCCTGCATGGCCTGGCACCAAAATCCCACATAAGGTCCAATGAAATAATAAGAGCTGTCAGGCTAACCATCTACTCAGATTGCATATAAAGTGCAGCACATACACCTCTGCCTTTTTGATTACTACTATACAAGAGCAGCTCTACTATTAGATAACCATCAAAGGTGTCAGATGCTGTGGGGCAACAGTGGCAGTTCCCTTATTCTATGGCCCAACCTCCTAATCTTTTCCTTCTATGGAAGGATAGAAGTGTATGTAGAAGTTACATCTACACTGTAGAATTAATGCAATTTGGCACCACTTTAACTTCTGTGTCTCAGTTCTATGGAATCAGTTTTACAAGGTTTTTACTCTTACAAGGTTTTTAGCCTTCTCTGCCAGAGTGCTTGTGCCTCAATAAACTACAACTCTCCGAATTCCATTGCATTGAACCATAAGAGTTCAAGTGATGTCTAATTTTATAAATGCTACAGTGCAGATACAACCTCAGTTCTTTCTGCACTCCATAAACTAACCTGTCACCTTTGAGTCCAGTGGAAGAAAGTGTTCCATTCCATTGCTCAAATAAAATTCAACTTTTGATCCTGTTTGCTTCTGTATGTGGAATGGTAGGGGGCATGTTGTTATTTGTGTCAGGATGCAAGACCCCTTGATTGAGCCCACATATATAGGTGTAGATGAGACAGGTGGCCATGTACCAATGAACTATGGACAAGTATTTTAACACCCCCCCCCCCAAAGGTATGATTTGACCATTAGGTATACATGCAATGGAATACTGATTAGGATAACTTGGTATGCTTCTCTATAGCAGTTCTCCATACTATATCACATGACTATCAAATGGCATAAGGAGCCTTTTAGGTAACTCTTCTGATGTTGTTTCTGAAGCAATCATGGAATGATTGAAACTCTAAATTCATGCAAACAAGCTGTGGGTCTGAGTTTTGCCACAACTTTACTTTGTTTTTGAAATTTGAATTCAGTTGAGATGAAGCAATGGGAGCTGAAATCACCGCAGATTTCTGTCAGTTATCAGAATATTTACATAGCTGATTTTCACTGTCGAACATTACATGTGGTTATCGAAATGCATTTCCTAGGCTATTGAATTGAAATTTCTCAAGAAGGTGGGAGATTATTTTGTTCTTGTTGAGGACTGAATTCCTACAGGGTGATTTGTCCAGGAGTTAACATGTCAGTAGTAGAAGACAAACGAGTGAATGAAATCTCCCTGCTCTCTTTCTTCCCATCTTTCTCCCTTTCTACTGCTTTGCTCTCTTTCTGCGCCTCTTCCCCCTTCCAGTAGTCTATAAGGCAAAAACAGATCACTTTCACATACATTATAGCTTACCCATCATAGTATTTAGGGATACTGAGCTATTTTTAAGGATTTTGCTCAACAATTAAGCCTCTCCATTGGGAGGTTTTATGGTTTCTACCAAAGCTTGATCACAACTCTGTTACCCAAGATCCTTCATATATCAAGTTTGGTTGGTTCTGGCACTACATCAGATTCATAGCACTGCTGGTACCCAGCTGGTCCACCAACTACTCTCACTGTTGTCTTGGTCCTAATGATACCAGTGGAGAAGTTGGAAAACAATATAAAAGTGTCCAAAACCACCATGGAGGAAGGGAAGGGAGACTCAGCAAATGCCCTTGAAGTCAAAACTGAAAAGATTGAACCTGGTACCTTGCAAATTAGTGAAATAATAGAACTTCAGACCTTGCAAAGGATCCACCTTCTATTTGTACCTACATATAATTTTTGCAGCATAAAAGCCTAACTTGTAAGCCTGTTCAACTATATACTTTCAGGTCCGTTAACGCCGAATTATGTGAATTATCTTTGAAATATGATTTAATTATTACCAGGAAATATTTAATTAAGCAATACAAATTATAATTACTAGATTAACTTAAACATGACACTTAAGCCCCTTCCATACAGCTGAATAAAACCCCACATTTTCTGCTCTGAACTGGACTATATGGCAGTGTGGAATCAGATAACCCAGTTCAAACCAGATATTGTGGGATTTACTCCCTTCATATTCTGGGTTATATGGCTGTATGGAAGGATCCTTAGTGTTTCCCTTAGGGTAAAGCATAAAAACAAAATGGTGTGTGAGAGTGCGTACACTTATACAGGTACACACACATTTTAAATCTATATGTACACATAGAATATGACCTATATTAGTTCATTTCTTTAATCTGCGTTTAACTGGACATTGCTAGATCTGTATCCAGAAATCTAAATGCACATGATGTTTTCTATGTGCTCTTATTGTAATACATTAGTTTATGCTGAGAAACCAAAATAAGATCAGGCAGTCTAATAAGTAAACTCACAGGGTATGTGAATTAGAGCTATCTACACAAGGGAAGATATGGCATACCCTCCTGATTTGGTAAGGAAAATCCCAATTAATGCTTTGGTGACCCAATTTTTGGCTGCATTTCAAATGTCCTAGTTAGTCCCCTTCTTCTTTGCCTCTGGCTTATTTCTATTAGTGCAAACTGAGTTTAATGTGCAGAAGTCATTAGTACTCAATTAGTCTGCAAGGAAAAGGGGATTAAGAATAAATTCTTATCCTTCTCTGTAGACTCAGGCAAAAGTAAACTTCTCAAGTTTGTCTAGGTGATTTGTTTTTCCTCTGTAATAACTTTTGCCATGTTGATTGCACTTGGTTGTTGCTTTGCCACATGTGTATCAGTTGTCATCTGTGAAATGTTGAAGGCTATGATATGATGTGTGTGGTTTTTTTAAAATAAAAAAAACCCTTTCTATTAAACCAACAGATGTTAAATGTCTATTTCCTCTGTAAGGATAACTGAATCCAAGTTACCTTCCTAAAAATTGGCAATGAAAGTCTCTTTGGCAAATGTTGATGCCTTGTTGGAGATGCAGCGATGTTCAACAGATCTGCTTCCAATCAGTTTGACTTTTACCATGATCACTGCATGGAAGTTGGCTGTGTTGGTTTCGGCTGCATGTACCTTCACATATTTAGAATAAAAAGTCTAAGGGCTGGAATTTATTTACTTTCTAAGTTTGGATTTCAAAATAAATGAAGAGAAGTAGAAACAGTGCCATTCTTCCTGTCTGCACGGCAAGGCTGTTTTCTTGGATGTAATTCCTACTGGCTGCGCAGACCTAGCATGTGTGAATGGGGCTTTGGCTCTGTCTTACACCCTCTTGTAGTTCTGTTCCTTTTGCTGTGGTCTCCTCTTCTTGAATTGGTTAGCTGTTTAATGTGCCACTGTGAGCATTAACTTGACTGTTTTAACTTCTCTTCTACAACAGTGCTGCAATCAATGTTTCATTTAGTTAATTTGTAAACCATCCACAAAGCTAAGCATCATTTGTAGTCTTCTGAGTACCTCTTCCATCTTGAATTAACAGCCAGCCATATGGCAGAGCCTCAGGAATGTTAGTTATGCATTAAAATATTATGCATTCTAGTCCATTATTATTTCAAGTTTACAGCAGGGTGGAAATCACAGACATCTACACCAATGGTTCTCAACATTTACTACTCCAGATGGTTTGAACTCCCATAAGTCACAGTCAGGTTGGCTAATGGTCAAGGATTCTGGGAGCTAAAGTCCAAAAACCAAGAGGAACAAATGTTGAGAGCCATTTATGTAGATGTTATTGGACTGAAGCTCCCAGTAGCCTAAGCATAACTAGTAGAGGGGAATGATGGCAGTGGTAGTTCAACAACAGCTGGAGGGCTACAGTCTTTTGCTTGGGTCCTTCTCCAGGTGGAAGGGTCTTATGGTTATTCTAAGATACTCTCAGATTTGGGGTTTGTTGGGTAGCTGGAGAATGAATTCTGTAGCTGTGCTCAAACTTCTCTGAAAATTCTTTTAGTTAGATGTCCTACTGTGATGTATTTCATAAAGGGACCCTTGGTCCATTTAGGAAAAATGTGAAAGATCTGAGGGAGATAATTCATATGGATGTTTTCACTGTTTTCTTCTCTGATGTAGGTCTGGTTCCAAAACCGAAGAGCAAAGTGGAGAAAAAGAGAGCGATATGGGCAAATCCAACAAGCAAAAAGTCACTTTGCTGCCACCTATGACATATCTGTTCTACCAAGGACTGATAACTATCCACAGGTATTTAATATATTAAAATGTTGGTTCTTTCCCTGTACTATTGTATACCTGTGGTTTCCAACCTTTTTTTGACCAGAGAACACTTGAACAGGGACCACTTTGACCAGGGACCACTCTCGAATATTAGTACCAAAAGGATTACAAATCAGTTTTTGGTCAACTTTAGATTCGATTTGGTTATTTGGGCTTCTGATTCAGAAAATTGCATTGGATAGACCACATCAGCTTTAGTTTCAGATACAGAATATATGCCACCCATGAGTAGTATGAAAGGGCCCTTACTCAATTTTCTATGAACTGAATTACTGGAAAATTCACCCTCCAAATCACACAGAGGACCTCCATTGATGAAGGAAGGTGTCCTCTGTAATAAGCTGCTCTCTGTTTTGTGGAAGATGACAGAACCATTGCCACAATATGCAGAGCCAGTAAGCTTCACCCTCCTCATTTATTCTCAGATTTTGTTTGAATAAAAAACGCACAGATACAAGTGAACCCTATTGTTTCTAAGGGGGGGGGGGTGAACAATGGAGAAGAGGGTGTAGATTTTATAGTACTGAATAAGTGAAACCATGGCTCTGAAACTGCCTGGATTGGGTTCATAGATATGGAGGTCATATCATACAGACTATCAGTGCCAGAAGATCTTTCAACCACATTAAACTGAGACAGAGAATCAGACCTAGATAAAAAAGGGAGTCTGAGTATAGTAGTAAACCTCCATGTCTATGTGGGATCTTTTGCTTTGAGAAGTTTTAAGATTGGAATTACTACCTCCTAGTTTCTAAATATGATAATAATTACAATACATATAAGGCATTTTACACAAAGTTTCTGGATGAACGAGAACCTTGAGAATTGCCAATAAGCTAGTAAATGTTTTCCTTTTTTTTGGTTAAACCATCCTATAGTTTTATCTTTGGGTTCAATACATTTGTTAACGATTAGAAGAAATCTAACCTTGTGTTGCATGATACGGCAGTATTTTGAGGGCTCTTTTATGGCAATCTGTCCCCTGCTTGAATAAGAATTCTATAAAAACAGTAATTACAGCCAACCATCTGTTTTCTTTTTATTCCATTCTGTGAGTAGCCATTAATTGCATAATTTTATTTTTCTGAAACACATTTTGGAGTTTTAATTAATTTTTTGCCATTCACAAATGTCAGAAAGCATTGTAATCAGAGCAGCTAAGTGTTTACACATATAAATAATTAGTTGTTGGAATGTTCTGTGAAAAATGAAGAGAAAATTTGAAGGAAATTCTTTCAACTCCCTCCAGTTTCATAAAGTTGGCTTCCAAGTAAAATGGCAGGCGTTAACTGTTTTCTGGTGGATTCACCATTTTCCTGTTTGGACAATTTGGCATATATTTCTGGGAGAAGGTTCCTTTCACACATCATTAAATTAAGTGAAAGCTAGTTATCCTGATGCTCAAACAAAGTTCCAGTTTGCTATTGTTCTGCTGTTGTAAAGCTAACATGTATTATCTAGGATAGCCGCATTTCTGGAAATAGGTGATAAATGACCCATCTGCCTATTAGTGATTAACTGTGTAGGATTGATTACCTGCTCATGACTGTTTGCCTGTGTTCGATTAACTGTATGATCAGAGGTACTGATTTCATGATAATAACATGATTTTTGGTATCCATCCAACCTGGCCTCTTCCAAATGTTTTAGAACTCCCATCAGCCACAGTCATTGACCATGCTGATTTAAACTAATGAGTAATGTAATACAAAACATCTGGGAACCTTCAGCATGGGGAAAGCTAGCATGCCGAGTGTGCAATAAGATATGACTCAACTCCTATTGGTCCCGCCTTCCTAATATCTTCCCATTGGATCTCCACATGAAAGGGACCTACACAATGCTACTTTCTATGCCTAGGGCTTCCAAGTCTATCCATGTGTGTAAGCTGTTGTTACAATAATTCTTCAAATGAGACAGGAGTGTGTCCCATTCCATGCATATAGGGAAGGAGAATGAATATGTCTGCATATCTCCTATGTGATGTCAATTACCATATATACTCATGTATAAGTCTAGAAATTTTAGTCAAAAAATAAACTCCCCAAGACCTGAACTGATTTCTCCATAGGTCAGCGTGAATACTGTACCTTAGCTGTTATCAAAAAAGGAACCACCCCCTACTCTGAATAGAATAGCAAAAGACAAGAGCTTAGAACCTAAAAGGAGCACCAGCCCCTTTGCTGTCTCCACTGTGTGTTTCTTCTGGCCTTTTTGAATGTCTGAGTGGGAAAATGTTGGCAGTGCCCTGAGGCAGCTGGCATTGGTACTCTACATGATTTTCGACTTATCCATGGGTCATATCAAAATCCATAATTTTGGCCCACAGGCATGCCCTCAACTTATATATGAGATTGACCTATGACTGACTGGATGAGTCAATATAGTGGATTTTTTTTAATAGTGAATCCTTTCAAAATATTTGAAAAGCTAGGGTTTTGTGACATACCAGCTGTGCATGGAACTTATCACTTTTTTGCTTGGGATAGACTCACATACCCACCAAAGTTTCACAGATGAAAGCCAAGACACATGAAGAAAGCAAAATCAGAATATGATCAAGTTTGCTTTTTTTTTGAGGAAGAACACAGGAACTAAAAGAGGCAGCAGCATTTTGATTTTGCCTAAGCCTCCTGGGAACAAGAAGATTCCATCTCTTCCTTTCCTCTCACCAATACTTAATTGACGGGGTGAAGGTTTTTGGCACTTTGGACTCCATTTGCACCTATTAAAGATGAGGAAAAATAGGGGCAACAGAAAGAAGTGAAAGTAATGGCGATACTGTAAAATCAGCTGCAAAAGTGAGATAAATCAGGACTGGATGAGTGGGTAATTCTTCCCAGAAATCCCAGCCAGTTTACCAGCTGTTAGGATTTCTGGGAGTTGAAAGCCAAAACATCTGGAGACTCACAGGTTGAGAATCACTGCTTTAAAGGAAGACAAAGTGGAAAATTTCATTGGCTTCTTCTCCAAATTGTACTTTGGAAGGTCTTCCATCTCATTAGAGCAGAGTTTTAAAGGATGCAGAGGGTTGTGTATTCTCTATCTTCACTTTTTTCTTTGTGTCCTGACCTCAACCTTTTTCTTCCAGGCTCAGTTGGTTGCTCTTCTTATCTTTTATGCTTCTGTTTCTTTTCATGCCTCTCCCCTTTCTAGAAGGAATACTATTTTCCAGCAAAGCCAGCAATTAGTTCTGTGACACCTAATTTATTATGGCATAATAATATTATTAACCCTATGCTGTATTTTTCAAAAAATTGTTTCAATTTTTTGATGTTGATGAGTGTTGTGTGGGTGTATGCATCTTCAAGTCATCTTATGGTGACCTCATGTATTTCATAGAGTTTCCTTCAGCTAGGAATACTCAAACGTTGTTTTGCTTCCTCTTAAATAAAAGGTATAGTACATGGTCTTCATTGGTTGTCCCCCATACCAAGGGCTGACTCTTCGTAGCCTATGTTATGAGTCTAAAATTCTTACATTTTAAAAGACATATATGATAGTGTGTTGGCTCTTAAAAGAATTTGAATATGAATGGACATGATATCCTTTCCCCCCTCTACCTTCAATTTACGGTACATGGCTGTGGTGGCAAACCTTGAAGTGCAATGATAAATGTTGCAGTACAGTGCTTGTGGCAGCCTCAAAGAAAACCCCAGATAGGCAGCTGTGTGGATCTATATCAACAAACTATTTTTAATGGTCTTTGGCTGTGCCAAAACCAAGTCTATAGTAGAATTAATTACTCTTAATTGCCTGTTCAATACCAAGCTGCTCTAAAATATTTTAGGTTACAGCAGTGGTAGATCATAACAAGGTATTATTATTAGGTCATTCTTCCCCAGCTACTGTGAAGATTGTAGCTAAGCTCAGAGAGGACAGGAGAACTGAAGAAGGAAGTGGCAAATGACATGATCAGTACATTCTACTGCTTTGTCTCTGTTAGGTATTAAATGGAGATTTCCTTGTTCCTTTGCTTCACAATGATCCTTGTAAGTCAATTCAGCCAAGTGTGCCTATTTCATACTATTCTTCCCTGCCCTTCTTTCTAACCTGAGAAATAACATTGCATGTGGAAACTTCAAAAGGAATGTGTGAGCTTACCATGGACTTATACTTTTGTAAAAATTATAATTTTGTGTAATTGATGTATTCTATTTTTTACTTACCAATTTTATATTGCCCGCCATTATTTTTTTAAAGTTAAAAATTGAACAAATTTTTATTTTCAATGAATTTTAGTGGTTTATAATTATAAATATGAGCTATATTTCCCTTCTGAAATGGCTTTATAAGGTTTAATCATGTCTCTTCAGCCCAGGTCAAGTATTCTATATTGTGGTATACCAAAATCACTATAGGAATGTAATTCAAAAATGTAATAAGAGCTGCAGGTATCTCAGATATAATCTATTCAGATGCAGGAAATCTGTTACTACAACCTTTCTTCAAAGGAAACGTTTTTAAAGAGTCTGACATCTTTTGAGGTGGTATATTGCATCAGGACATTCTTCCTAGTATTTAGTGGGGTTTAGGTCAGACATAGAGGTCCAACAGAATATCAGTGTGATATTCCTGTCAGCAGATGCTGATGTAGGTCCATTTTGAGTTGGCCAAGAACTGACAGTGCAATTGTGTTTCTGAAGGCATTGCATTGCCTTTGAATTTTTCAACTGCATCGGTATATAGCAGAATTCTGGGTTGTGGTGTTAATTACATGGCTCACAGGTTTGAATCCGAGGAGAGCACGCATAAGCGCCCTCTATCAGCTTCAGCTCCTCATGCGGGGACACGAGAGAAGCCTCCCACAAGGATAATAAAACATCAAAACATCTGGGCATCCCCTGGGCAATGTCTTTGCAGACAGCCAATTCTCTCACACCAGAAGCAACTTGCAGTTTCTCAACATGACATGAAAAAAAAGGTACATGTAAATTTGGATAGGCTTTGGTGGCACTAACCTCTGCCAACCTCCCTATTTCTTTTTAATTGAAAACGCTTTATACGATTTTTATAAAAATCATCCTGTAGAATGAGGTTTTATTTAAAAATACTAACCCTACTCATCCTAAAAAAGCAGAAGAGCAAAAGATATATATTTGGGAATTAAATTTACTTTTGGTTTGCTTTTGGGGATTGATATAAGACGTCTTACCACTTCATATAGGAGAGCAGAAACCACTTCCTCCTTCTCCTTTGCCCATATTCTAACCAAGTTTCCATCTTTTATTTCATTCCAAATCATTCGGTTTCAATAGCTCTTCCGTGATGAGACATTGAGAATGGAATGGAACCCCCAGAAAAATGTTATTTGGGACTTGCTAGGCTCAGAGTCAGCATGGTGTAGTGGTTTAAGTGTTAACATTAGACTCTGGAAACCAGGATTCAATTTTGGGTTCTGTCATAGAAACCTACTTGGTGACCTCAGGTGTGTCACACACTGTCATCCTCAAAAAACTTCATAATAGGAAATAATTTAAAGGCAAACAACAACAAGGCCCCTGCTGTCTGCGTTTATTTCTCTGCTGTAGCTCTGGTCATTTCTTTGCTGCGGCATTGCCATATCAGTAAGCAACTAATGTGGTTCACCAGTGCTCACCAATGATCCACATTGGAGAATCCCTCTGGCTGTTTTCCAGTAGTGGCAAACAGCAAGGTCGTGGTCCTCCCAAGGTGGTGTGTGGGTTCATGATTTCCTCCCTATACTCTGCTGTCTTTAGAAAAGCTTTACTTTGCTTACAAGACACTAGAACTTGATGAGTGGGGAATTCAGCAGTTTCCATCTCATTCTTTTCTAAATGGCTGAACAGAGGTGTGAAAGCAAGTAAAAAAGCACATAGCAAGAATGTGGCATTCCATTAAAAATAGAATAGCTAGTTTTGAATCACCAGGACTAGCAAATATGTTCCAGCTATTACATCCTTTCCAACAGTGGGAAACTTTTAGAGTGCTTGATTCTATTTCCTAAGCCAAAGATGCAATGAAATATATAAATATGCACATGATCTTTGTTAAACCTCTCATCTTAATTCCTCACTGAATTCCTTTATGACCATAGCACGTTGTGGGGGAACTTCCATTAGCAGTAATCAGAGTTAGATGTTCAAATTAAATATTCCATATGGTATGTATTATACACCACATGGCATTTGACTAAAATATGTTTTTGTTCTGCATGCAGCTGACGAATAACCATGGAGGCTCCAAGTCCTTCTAAGAGCCATTAATTCTGATTTGTACACCATGCCTGTGTAGCCTTTGTTTGGTTGTACAATTTATAATGTTTTCCTCTAGGAATATATACCTAGCAGAACCCTTGATTGAGCAAGACACAGAAGCAATAGGGGTGATTTATCTGGCAGCTCTAGTTTCTAATAAACTAGAACTGAATCTGATGATCAATAGTATAGCTGTCTTGATTGTTAACGTTGGAACCTGTAGTTATGCATATGTTGAATGAAACAGCTTGAGGAAAATCTGAACAAAAGTATAATTCAGATCTCTATCACACTGCACCGATATAATGCTATTATTCCACTTTCATTGCTATGGAAACATCATATGGGATCCTGGGATATATTGTTTAGAAAGGGGGAATTCCTAGCCACAGAGCCTTACCTCCTGACCGCCTGGAGATTACTGGCAGCAGTGTAATGGTGGCCTGGTAAGTTATTTTATTTTTAAAAGGCTTTTGAGGGGTTTCTGAGGAGGGGGTTTGTGAGGGTTGTGCGGACTGCCCCCTCAATAATCCCAGGACTACCTGGGCCTAATCCACTGCCTAATTAATTTGGGACAAAGCAGGGTTTTCCTGCTTTTGTCCTGAATTAATTTGCTTTTAACCTGAGGCATTGTTTGGATGCCTCGGGTAAAAGTCTGAGAGGGCCCGCATTTTGGGTCCTGTGTGGATAGGCCCTTAAAGACAAATAACTGAATTATAATAATGTGGTATGATAGAGCCCTGACACACAGGTCTGATATAGTTGTTGTTCTTGTTGTGTACTTTCTAGTAGTTTCTGAGTTATGGTGACCCTAAGCTGAGAATCTCATGGGTTTTTCTCGGCAAGAGGTGTTCAGAAGTTTTTTGCCATTGCTCTGAGATAATGTGAATTACTCAAGGTAACCCAATAGGTCTTTATGACCAAACAGGGATTTGAATCCTGGTTTCCTAGAATCTCAGACCCACAATCAAATCACTGCACCATGTTGGCCCCATGCTGACATATATATTACTTATAACTATATACAGCAGTGGTTCCCAACCTTTGGTCTTCTAGTTGTTTTGGGCATCAACTCTCAGAAATACCAGTCAGCTTACCAGCTCTTAGGAATTGTGGAAGCTAAAGTCCAAAACACCTGGAGGACGAAAGGCAGGAACCACTGATATACAGAATAGAGCCCCCAGGTTTCCTGTGTTAGAGGGGTATGAATGTCTAAAGTGTGTGAAGAATGCCACCTATAAAAGGTTAGTCTTTGAAATGAAATAATTATCCAATTTAATTCACAGAAGAAAACAGACATTTCTCAACATATTATGATATGTTTGTTTTTATTGGAATTGTGAATTCTTAAGTACATTTGTATCTCCCAAATTTCCAAACTCCTCTGGGCTGTCCCTTTTCTGGGGCAAACTGGCTCTTCTGGAAGCTTTCAGGAATGGAAAGTTATTTTTAAATAGGCCATTGCCTCCCCTTCCCCATCATACTCTTTAATATTTAAAAATCCTAT